CCTTGCCCTGCAGCGACTTCCAATGGAACTTGACTAGCTTGGACGTGCCGCTGTCCGTCACGAGCCGGTATGTGTGCACGCCGAAGCCGTCCACATGCCGGAAGGAGCGCGGAATACCATGTCCAGCCATCGCCCAGAAAAGAGTATGCAGAGCACTGGGCTGTTGGCTGAAGAAGTCCCAGGCCGAGTCGTGGGCAGTAGCAGCTTGGGGAATCTCGCTGTCACCTCTGGGCTTGACGGCGTGGATCAGATCGGGGAATTGAATGGCATCCTGAATGAAGAACACGGGGATGTTGTTTCCGACGAGATCTGACGGGTCAGTGTTTGGCTGAGAGTAGAGAAAAAAAGGGATGGCTTACCGAAATTACCCTCATCAGTGTAGAAGCGAGTCGCAAAACCGTGCACATCGCGAGCAAGATCGGTACTGCCACGACTACCAGCGACAGTGGAGAAGCGCACGAACATGGGAGTTTCCTTGCCCTTTTCGGAGAGAAAAGAGGCCGCCGTGAGATTGGAGAAGTCGCCGTAGGAGACGAAGACACCATGGGCACCGGCGCCACGGGCATGTACGGCGCGTTCGGGAACCTACATTCTTAGTGGTGCAATTGCGTTGTAGACGAACAATAGAACTTACTCGTTCATGATCGAAGCGCTGAATCTTCTGGCGGAAGATGAAGTCCTCCAGCAAAGTGGGACCGCGTTCACCAGCGCTCAAACTGTTCTGGTCCTCAATGGGGCCGCCCACGTCGGAAGTGAGGTAGGTGTTATTGTCATTGAGGTAGTACTGAGAGAGGAATTCCTCAGTGGATTCTGAGGCATCTGAGGCGTCGCGAGCAGAGAGGTCACGACTCATGTAAGGGCAGGCGGCATTAGCGAGGCCAATGAGGCCGACGAGGCCGATGGGACGCATGGTCGCGTGGAAGGGAAGGGGAAGATTGGACTAGGTCCAGGGAAGATGAGGCAATTGGAGAAGTGAGAGGGTGAAGGAAGGGGAGGGGAAGGGGAGAGAAGAGAGGGGGAGACTGAGGGAGTTATATAGAGTAAATGGGATTGGCATTGGCATTGCATTGGCATTGGCAGTGAGTAGCTACTATCTGAGTAGATACTAGTAATACTAGTACGAATGTAGGAGCCGTCTGTTCCCAGCATGTTCTGTTAGATACCAGTCGGGTGTGTACCTTACTTGGGATGATATCTTTCGGTAAGGAATCCTGGGATGCGTATTGAGATGCAGACACACGGCCAATGGCGCGTTGCTCATTGGCCGGGGGGTCCATGCCCCGGCCGAGACCCAGGCTTGGCGATGAGGAGGAGGTCGAAGCTGACTGGCGGGAGGGCTTGGTAATCGGGAGGTCTGGATGAAAGGGACTGGCTTGGCAGGCGATGACGTTGAATTCCACTCGTATCGTGCCATAAAATACAGTATTATCACGATGAAAATAATAAAATGACAAAATAGCAATGATGTTGCACAAAACCTGAAAATAGGAAGTGTCGGGATTGTCAATTAGTCTTCCCCACTCATGTAACAATAACAATGATAACAACAACAACACACTACTAGTAATTGGTCTTCCCCTTGCAGGGTGAGAACTACAATTCAGCTGTGACCCAAATACTTACTGTACTACCTCAGGCATAAACTTACTAACAACCAGGGACAGGCTTTATGCACGAGGAAGATAATTCTACAACGTACATTGGCCGGACATGTTCATGTTCATGTTCCATCTGCAGGACCCTAACCAACTATTAATAACTAACCCGACGGTTCCTTACAGCACATCCCCTCCCCCAGTCACACTACTACTAGTACCACTACTAGTACTACAACTAAATATGATCAGACCATCCCGCCAAGCCTACCCCCGCAGCCGGGGATTCTTGGTCCTGCAACGTGCTGAATTTCCATCACACCGACGCGTCGCCGCCCAGACTCACTCACAAAGAAAGAAAGAACATCACAAAATTTCTATTTCTGTACAATGCCTAGTCTACACATCCCCTATCATCTATCATACTAGTAGTATACTATACTAGTATCTAAAAATACTTCGGCCAAACCGGATCCTCCCACGTCCTTCCCCCCTTTATCAACTGACTATCCACTCCATCCGCTCCCGAAGAAACATACAACACCTTGGCCTGTGCCCCCTCATTCCAATACTTATACGTCACTCCCTTAGGCACAAACACCACATCTCCCATCTCCACTCTGGCAGTCTCATACTCCCCAATCTGCACCTGCACGCTACCCTCCAGCACCTCCAACGCCGCCGGGCCCGCCGTCCACGTCGGCGCCGTCGCGTTGCTCGGCTGCCGACTCATGATGATCGTGCTCAGGGTATAGTTTGTATCCTGGGCCTGCGTGGCCGTCACCAATGGCTGCACGATCTGGTACGCCCCGTACTGCGAGTTGAGGTACTTGGGGCCGTAGTTGTTGGCGATGAAGTATGGCTTGCCGGCGGCGCCGAGGGTATCGGATTCGGCGTGCCAGCCGGAGTCGGAGGGTGCAGTGCCGTTGACGAAGTCCCGGCGGGGAGTGAAGTCGAGTTGGGCGTAGACGTCGTATTGTTGCAGGCTGGAGATGGTGCTGCTGTCGGGACCGGTGGCGGAGGAGGAAGAAGAGTTGCCGGAGCCAGGTACGTAGGGGGTTTCGGTGCCGGAGGTGTAGTTGGTGCCGAGGGCGTAGAAGAGGTCCCTATTATTTCAAGATTCGATTAATATGCTGATATGTGAGTACATAGATGGGGTATTGGTTTACTCGAATCCACCAGGAACAATCACTCCCACCATCTCAGTGTCCGGGTCGAGGATCTGGAACGTGTGTGTTGTGTTCCGAGGTACAGAGCCATAGTCTCCCTGTGTGAGGAGACGGGCCTCCTGTTCTCCATCGCCCTTTTGGGCCCAGAGCTGAAAGCGACCCTTGAAGTTGAAGAAGTTCTCATAGTGCGTGTGGTGGATGTGAGGGAGGACACCGAGGGAGCCGCTCGAGGGCGCATTGGTGCTCATCAGCGTGAAGGCATAATCGGAGGAGGGGCCGGTGACGGTGAACCGGTACAGTTGGGAGTCAATCGTCACGGCATGTGAGTTCTCATAGTGAGGGAGGATATAGGGGCGAGGGGACGACGGGGCCTCGGAGACGTAGAGGTCCTCGACGGATAGGGCTGAGGAGAGGGCCAAAAGAGAAGAGAGAACGAGAGAACGCATGACGATGGAGTCTTCAGATCCAGATTCCGATCAGATCTTGCTAATTCTTCGATTGATAGACATTCTCTGCAGCTACGATTCTACACACTTATACCCTTCGCGTGGACAATGAAGCCCGATACTTCACCCCGGAAATCCCGAGATTCTGCAACAGGGCCCATCTGGTACGCGAAATGAGCTGCAGACCTCGTCGCAGGTCCCGACTTGTTGGAATTGCAGATACCTCAACGACCAGGCAAGACAATAGGGCAGACGAACCTCGGTGCCTGTACGTATCAGGGCATGAGTCTCCGGAATGACGAAATGCCGTGAGTGTCGGAAATTCCGAGAGTAGGAATAGCGATCAACAGGTCCACTGCAGGAACTATCCAGGCCAAGGACGCCATTCTTGGCGGGAACAGAGTGAGTCGTCGTCCTGCCTTGGATTCTTCACGCCCCGGGCTGCAGATTATCTGCAACCACCTATACCTACCTTAAATCCCCATATACTCTAAAAGTATCATTTACAGGAATATCAAATGTCTACTTACTCTGCACCTCTAACACAGAAACCACCCAGCAACACTGAAGAAACCAAATGCCCCCGATGTCGATCACCGTCGATCATTCAAGGTCCGAGAGGTCCGATAAACGGCGGGTCGTCAGGTCGGCATTTGTCTTTGCGGAAAAACCACACAGGCAGCGGGGAAATGCCGCATACAGAGTAGTCTACCCAATGTCAACCGGACTTATACAGTAGTCTGTAGATAATAGCCATACACTAACCCACTCTAGTAAGTCAAGACATCGCTTGTAAGTCCACGACAGACGGATCCAGGAACATTGACGGTCAATAAGCACGTAAATAGCATAGGGTTGTCCGTGAAGATTGACTAAGCGGGAACAATCGGAAAATAACTAATTTGCCAGACTCCGTAGGAGGGAACTTGTGGCTGTACACTTGGGTCAGTTATGAGGATCTGCTTGCACCAAGACTTGGTGCGGACAGTGGCCGAGTAAATAATCTATCAGTGTCTGCATTTGTGCTCCGTGGTGTTGGGGGGACAGTGCCAAGGATAGTTTGACGTGAAACGTGCCGCCAGTTTTATCTACTTTCGCTTCTTTCTTTTCACTGGTAGATTATTATCTCTCGGTAGTGGATAACCCGAGAAGAAACATTTCCAGCTGAGCTCATTACGACATAGACACCATATAACATATTGTAAACATGTAAAAAGGTAAAGGGAAAATTGAAATGAAAAGAAGATGTGTGTTGTTGTGGGGTGTGTGCGGGTAAAAAAAGTGCAATGAAAAAAAAGGAGAAAAAAGAATTGTCCCTGGGCGGGGTCGAACCGCCGATCTCAGTGATTCCTGTATGATGAAACCATAAGCACTATGCCTTAACCACTTGGCCACAGGGACAACTGTTTTATGTGGGGAATTTCTTAATATGGCTTATACCCTACTTTTGGCATATCCGATATCCCGGGGTGAACTTTTATTTTTTTTTTTTTGTTTGTTCATGGTTCCTTGGGTTGATTGTGGGGAGGGGGAAGCTTTAAGTTTGGTACGACGTGACTTTTGCCTTTGTAGAGTGGCGTGTCTTGTTTATTTGGGTTGGTGTTGTTGTAGCTAAATGTATCTGAGGGGTTTGGGTTGTGGTTTTGACTGACGTGCGACCGAAATACATAGATTCGCAGACCATGAAGCAAGGTAGACTATCAGGCTATCTATCTATTCATCAGTTGTTTATTTTCTAACTACAGTACATATTAAATCTTCTCAATCGTTCAGTCATCATTATCATCCAACAAATCTGATAAGTTCCATCACTTCTCCAACCTGTCGTTCTCACCACACCCCCCGACAGACAGATTGCTCTATCCCGCCGACCGTCTCACAGAGCGAGCGACAGCATTAGAGCCTACTACTTGCATCACTCCCCTGAGACCCTCTCATCCGGCGATAAACAGAACACACATCCTGCACATTATCCTTCCCCCAACTAACGAGAAGTTTATTCCTCTGGACAAAGTCCATAGTATCCAGCATCTTCTCTTCCCTCCGCTCGCATTCCGTATCCGAGAGCTCGCCATCAGCACACCGCAGATAAACTTTCAACATGTTGAAATGCTTATCCTTAGGGAGATGGAACGTATTGTAGTTCTGGTTGATTTTTCGGTGGATGGTAATGTCCCATGGATCTCTCCTAAAATAAAATACCACCATCATTAGTATACTACTCATGTCTATGACACAGAAAGGAAAGGAAAGAACAAACTCACGTATCCAGCGACATCCCCTCCGCGACCACCGCATCCCAAACCATCCCCACGGGCAACGCCAAATCCATCACAACCTGCCGAACAGGAACATCCGGCGTATACGAGAAGATAAAACTCTCATCATCGACCAACAGAAACGCCTTCGGACTCTCCAGCACAGTCATTCCGCAATCGCTCAGTATCTTCTTATCGAGCTTCGTGTATGCCGAATCCTGCAGCAGGATTTCGATTTCTGTCGCTGTCCATGCCATTTCCTGCAGAATTCGTCGCAGCATAAGCAGGAATGCGTGCTGGTAGGCACTTCGCTCCCTGGTGAACTTGTCAAGTCTGAGGTTGGTTATGCTATTGCAGCCGAAGGCGATGATCTTGCTGACGGGACGTTTGATGGTCGGTAGATTGCGCAGAGCCGCGAGCATGTCCTTGTAGAGGGTACTGTCTGTCCAGGTGTGGAAAATGGTGTTGAAGCTTTCGTGCGCGGATGCTATTTCTTTCTTGGTGGGGTCGTAGTCGTCGTAGTCGTCTTCTTCATCGTCTTCGTCTTCCCCGTCTAGACGGCGGAATTTGTGGCCTAGGGCGAGGTTCGAGTATAGGTAGGAGGGATGGCGTGTTTCGGGGCTGGGGGTGATGTAGTCTGTTGGGGCGGGGAAGAGTTCGAGGAAATGTTTTACACTGAATTTATGGTCGATTAGTATTTGCAATTTAGTAGATGATGAAGAAGTAGAGGAAGCAATACGTACCCAACCATAGCTACACCCTGTTTATTGCGCTCAATCCTTTCCGTCATCACTTCAAACCCCACATCCGCGCCATCCAAAGCAGAAATGTACACGATATCCCCCGGCTTACACTTCTCCACTCTAGCCTGTGCCTCCTGGATGGCTTCCTTGGTCCACCGGGGTGTCCCCTCTGGATATAGTTCTTTGTACCGTTGCGCCCTAAGGTGTGGATGCAAACCGGTCTCCGGCCCGCTAGGTCGTAGAGACGGCTGTAGGCCGATCTCCGAGGCGGCAAGGCTTTGGGTGGTGTTCGTCGGTGGTGCCACGTCCATGGGGTCGCTTGAGGTTGTGGACGACGCGCTCTCCTCGGACTCGTCGATGTCCATGGGATCGGGGGTGTACATAGTACTAGGAGTAGTCATATCGATTATATGGACTGTTCACGAGAGTAGAAGATTCAAGCTAGATTCGGCGAAGATAGGTGAATGCGAAGGTCGTTGATTCGATTTCTAGTATAGTCTCGATGACCAGCGACAAGGATGATTCAAGAAGGAGTTGCATGTTGGAGTAATTTATACTTGTTTTTGAGAGATGTGGAGAGGAAAACAGTAAAGGTAGGTTTCCAGGACAATTGATCCTATTGCGGCTCTTCCCTGTACATTCACTGTCAGTTGGACTATAGGTTGGGGAGTCGTAAAGGTTATTGTTGAAACCAGGTTTCCAGGGAGATTCGGGAAGAGAAAGAAAAGAAAGTATGCTGTATATAGATGGTAAGTGCCGCATGATGATAGTGCAGCAGCTCAGACATTGGATGTGAATAGGGAGAAGTATCATGTTTTAATGCTGAGGTGTACAGCCATGCCTCGCATTAGAGGCTATTCATTGTGCATCAATGGTTGGCAGTTGGTGACATGGGTGGCTTGCATTGCTGTATTGACTGTAGGCTACCGTGAATATATCGTCTAGCTGATATGCCGAGGTCTGTATCACCCGCTAGTTAATGAGATGGACCACGGAAAATTGTTCCGTTGTTCGAAAGTAACAGAGGAATTATGTTCCGGGATAAACCATAGAAAATGCCCCACAAATCCAACCATTCAGTTTGAATCAAAATCGAACAACACATCCATACAAGGTTACCCTGTCTATCACCCACGATCCGACCAGAGTTAGATTACGTCACCTGAAACAAAAGCAAATGATATTTTCATCCTTTCCCACCATAGCTATTCGATGGAATGTAAATAGCTCATTGAATATTAAACATCATAGCACCATGGTTCAAAGCTCGCAGATAAGATATTGCTATACCTCTGGCCTATGCCCTAATCATTCGCCTCCTCTGTACCAGGACTTTGAGAATTCTCTGACCCTTCCGCGCTTTGATCTGCAATAATTTTGCCCAGCCGCCTAAGGTCATCGGTTATATCGTCAGGCTGGATGCACAGCTCGAGGAAGGCGAGTTTATCCGACTCTGCATCCACCCTATCCAGTGCTTGCTTCAAATCCCCTATTGTCTTGATCTTCATGGCGAACATGGGCGGACTGTCCTCTAGCCCCTCATCTTCCTTGCTGGCATAAGGATTATGCGACGGAGCGTGAGGTTTTGAAGAAAAGGAATTGGCCAATTGGACATAGTCCCAGTTTGCCAAGTAGTTATACGGTCCATCATGCATAGCAGTCTACTCCGTTGTCAGTGATGTCCACGACTTGTTCTAATTGACTTACCTCGATCTTGTAACCCAGATTGTTGAAAAGAAATATGATCGCGTTCGCTCTATGCCGAATCATGGTGCTGACTTCTTGCGCTGTCATCTGAAACCCTCCATCTCCAATAAGGATGATGGATCGACCTTGTGTCCGAGCAAGCTGGGAACCAAATCCAGCAGGCAATGCCCAACCGATAGAGCAATATGGAAATTGTAGCTGGCAGTTGGCTTCAGGGGGGAGGAGAATATGATTAGCAATGAGCCATGACTCTCCTGCGTCGCAGAGCAACGTGTCATGCTCCTTTATAAGTCCCTGGATACCGCTGATAGCGCTTTTCAAGGTTAAGGGTGTCTCTGAGGTTTCTGTTTCCTCGGGGGGCAAGCAACCAAGAAGTGGCTTGGGTCGCGGAATGGAATCAGTCTTCGGTTTCATTCCAGACATGATGAGCTGCGCTACCAATGCATCAATCTTCACAGGCTTAATGTGCTTTCCGTCGGGCAGCTCGACCCAGTCATTGTCCACGCTAATCATGCGATAACCTTCTTGCTTATTGCTACTCATCATAACATGAAGATCGGACCAATTTCCACCAAGAACTAACCAGAGATCTGAGCGCATGACAATTTGCTCACCCTCTGGGTTCGTCATCCCAGCCCAGAACTGACCGCAATACTGCGGATGAGATTCATCGATGCAACGGCCATCGGGCTGACAAAGAACCGCACAACCAAGCTTGTCTGCTAGACGTTCAATTTGACGACGGGGGAGAGATAGACCTGCTAGACTCCCAAGCAATAGCACAGGCCTTTGAGACGAGTTCCATATACTCTTAATGGATTCTACAGCCTCTTCTAGCACGCGTGGCTGGCTCTTCGAGTTCACCTTCCGGCTCAGTGGCGAAGGTTGAGCGCATGCGGCGGAACCAAGATCATTAGGAATCTCAATGTAGACCGGCATATTGGAGTCGAGGCATTCACCTATCGTATCATCCAGTACATCAGAGGCAGTCTCTGCAGATTCGAGGCGCACGGATGCAGCAGTAACTCCTTCGAATGCACGGAGGGCCTGGTCTTTATTCTTAGCGCTGGGAGCGTGATGCAGAAATTTGTCGCTTTTCACCAGGCTCGTGGTGGGACAACCGGAGAGTATAATCAATCTGATATTTTGCGAGCAGGCTCCTGATACGGGATTGAGAACAGAGAGACTGCCTACAATGTAGGGAACAACGACAACCGCAATGCGGGCTGGTGATACGCGGGCGTATCCATCTGCGGCATATCCAGCGTTTAGCTCGTTGCAGCACGTCACCATACGAAGATTGGGGTTCTTCAGCAGATTATCGAGGAGGAAGAAATTAGTATCCCCTAATAAGTTAGCAAGCGATACGAAATTATAGATTGATATACAAACCTGGTACAGCGAAGTAATCGCGAATGCCCAGCTCCTCAAAGCGATAGGCCAGAAATGTGCCAATATTATAAGTGGTCTGATTAAATGTAGGCCGAGAGCTCGGCAAGTTCGCTACCACCTGGGGTTCTGGGATTGTTTCAGCATTAGGTATCTTGATGACTGCCTCGCCGAGCAATTGACTGCCATAACGTAACGGCGCTTCTGGGTATGTTCCTTTAGGTATATCATTCTGCATAGAATGGAGAATTCGAGGAAGCTCGTCCAGTGCAAAATCATGGCATGGTTGATAGAACCTTTCTTCGGTGAAAACAAGGATAGCCTTTTCTATCTGTTCTCGAGTACCCCCATAAGGTACAACTTTCACCTGCGCCATCCTTGACACCAACTTAGATATGTCAATGCCAATCGGGGTCCCTGGAGGCAAGCCCACAACGACAACTGTTCCTCTAGGTTGCACATACTGGGATTGGTAAGAAGGTAGTTATATCAGGCGCCGCTCAGGAAAAGACTAACCTGAAGTGCCCCTTTGAGAAGTGCTCCCGATCCCTCTATTATAATTGCAGCATCGGGCCCGTCGCCAATCATACCCTGAACTTCAGCCACCATATCGGCTGGGGAATTGTAATCTATGTAGTACTCGGCACCAAGCTTCTGTTTATATAGGTGATCACTATAATCTCCTGTAGATATGACCAGAACTCGACAGCCACGGGCCTTAGCGTATTGACATGTCAATGTTGTTAGTCCGCCTGGCGGTCCCGCAACAGCTTCATCGCGTTAGCTGTGGCCTATTAATTATAACCATTCATGGACAGACGTACCTAGAAGGCTATCGGGCTGTGCACCACTTTCCTGTACCGCTCTGAAGCACGTAGTCCCGACGCAGATAATCTAAGTAGGATATTAACGATCTCAAGGGTAATAGATGACGAGCCTGAGCTTACCGGAGCCACAACATCAAGAGGGATCTGTTTAGGGAGTCGCACGACATGGCATGCTTGGCTGATGCAGTATTCCCGAAAGGTACCATCAACTGAATATCCGGTCATCCGAGCGTGTGGGCACGAGACGTAATCTGATTGTTTATCTGCATCGCAGACACCACAGGTCCTATTGATACACTAATCGAACGTCAGAAGCATACCATTCCAGCAGCAATGGTGGATATTACCTGTATACCGACATGATCACCAATGTTAATGTCCTTCACTTCGTTACCGGCCGCTACAACAATACCCGTACCTTCGTGACCATCTTACACCGGAAGTCAGTATAATGTGGGAAAGCTTCGACAGCCGTGGACCTGCACACCGACGCGATGTTCCTTTCTAGTGACATGATTTCCTAGAGTAGTCAGCGCCTGGTGTCTTAGTCTGGGACCGGATAAGGTTAACCTCTCCACTGATGAAGGGCGGAGTGACAAAGCCCGGAGAACTTCAAGTTGACCAGTACTTCGTCGGGACCTGGGGATAGAGGGGGGTTGTTTCTGCATTCCCGACCTGATACATCAGCAGGCGAACAGAGCGACAAGTGTGCACAGAAAATTAAAAATCCTCACCAGTAGTAATGCGTGGCCGCCCGAACAGCTGAGGCTGTGGCATTGGCATTGTCTGAATCGGGGCCATTGCTGTTCCGATGTTTCTTTGTCGAAGTATTAGGAAGAGTAAAAGCAGCAACAAGCGCTACTGCGAAAGAGAATGACGACCTGTGGCGATAGTTAAAGAACTATAAACTCACCAGATCAATTCCTCAGCCTGTTCTGCTAGCGAGTTCACCATCCGCCACCCCGGATCATGTGCATGTTTTTATAAAATCCATGAGTACGTGAAGGCTGCGCACAGACATATTATCATCCATAGGTAAGATCTCAAAGCCCCTGATGACCTGAGTGAGTTCCAGAAATTAAAAACACCTTAGAAGGATATACTTTCTAAAAACCTGGCACCCGCAAACATGGGGGGAGAAATGAGGAAACAGCCCGCCGGTGGATCGAGACACATCTCAGGTGACTAAGCTTACATCACCTGGAGCTCGACAGGTAAATGGGAGCTAATAAAGTCATGGGACCTCGCATTAATCTGAACAGTAGCCAGAATTGTATGCAAACTTCATGTACAGCAAGTGGAGGGATTTATACCCGGTTTCACTGCCAGGGTAGTAGAGAGAAGCGATAACATTCGAATGCAACCAGGCAGACCCATATTCCATCAGCAGAAGTATGCCCACAAGCCCAATGCAGCAGGGTTACCTGGGGATCCTTGTCTATTGACTCGAGAGGCCTATGAACCAAGAACAGAAAATGCGCTTAACAGTAACTCATAGCAGCATATCTCGCGTATCACATGGCTATGGTCATCGTAGTCATGGTATTTCAGTTGCGCACTTCCTTGGCTAAGTTGCTGAGACTTGATTGTGAGACATGTTGCTGGGATAGCCAAGCTTGATGGCCAGCTATCAAGGTAGTCTAGACGTCCGCGTTACTACAAGAAATGATGCCGAGCAAAGTGTCTGATACTCTCGGTCCCTGTCTGACCGCATGCTATAGCATTTTCTTGCAATGGCAGAAGCGTGAAAGGTGCGGACCGACATTGCCGGGCCTGTGTGAGCAAAACAGTTGCCTACGAAGCTACTACAGGGATTAACAGACAGGCGTCTGCTCCTCGGTAGACATCGCATGTGCTTATGCGCTGTTTGTAGTTGATATTCTGGTTCTAGAGGGAGAGAAAAGGAGACTCACGAAATCCTCGGAGAACCGATCAAACAATCCCCTGTAAGGCCTAATTTAGGAAGCCGTTGACCGCTTGTTCACTGCGCTGGTACCCGAGGAAGCGAGTGGGGGCCTTTAATCGGGAGGAAGAGCTGGGGTGTTTTGAGAACTGTCCGTCGCTAATACATGCAGCTCGTGTCCGGAAGCCGGGACCCGGTAGCTGTCTGGGAAATGAGCCATGCCGTTGTATGGATCACCGGGTGTAAATATGAGATATTCATTGCAAACCCTGCAGGTGATGTTAAGTGCCATTTGAGCAGTCAGTTTAAAACCAGAGCCAACTCAGCATGCAACGCTGAGATTTCGTCTTGGCGAATGAATCTCAAATGAACAATAGCAGAGTCGAAAGGGTCTGCTCTTGCATGCTGTGGTTACCATGACTAATTCGTAGACAACCATTGGCAGCTGTTCGAAGTATGACTGGTTCTTAGCCAACTTTCGGCGTCTGCGAGCCAGGAAATTGACTGATCATAACGTGCAATTGATGAATCGATGGTAGTCTGTGAGTCATCAACAAAGTATGTGCTCCAGCGGTTGCTCCAGCGGTAACTGCAGCTCAAGTATGGGTTGGCACATCTTGAATGAGGTCTCCAGTAGAGCAGCCGGCAATTACGTAATTGGAAGAAACGGTTGACCTCAAGCCTTGTGAGGTGGCTACAAATGAGCCACTCTTTCATGAATCAAGACGCCCGATAGACAGGAGCCTTGTAGTCGCAACAAGGTAAAATTAAGAGCAGCCAGAAGCGACGCGGAGTCGCGGGGCCCGATGTGGTACGACGGGTGATTTCTGGGGATTTCGGGAGCGCCCTACGGCGACGACTGCCGGTTACCGAAAAAGGGGAAGTTCCCGGAATGGGCCAACCAGAAACGAGGGATTATTATCAGAATACCCACTTTCGGAGATAAGGGCTATCGCAATTTTTTTTTCCTGCAGCGTCCAGGCCCGCAAGAGCAGATGCCCAATATGCAGGGTTCAATAAGCTGTCTGGCTCAAGACCCTTTGTGTAGACCCTTTCTTACTATTTATACCAGCTTCCTGTAACCAGTACTGTATCTCTGCCAGTTCTACTCAATCGCGTTGGTGTACATTGAGCGCTTGTGCGAACGTTCTTATCCAACGAGGGCAATTCGCAAGCTACCAATCTGGGAATGGCTGATATTGAGACCCATGTACGCCATAGCCTGGACCAAGGGGCCCACGCAACCATAGAGAAATCGGCTTCACAGGTAATAGCAGCAGAGGAACAAGATGACACTTTCGATGAGAAATATCCAGAGGGAGGTCTTCAAGCCTGGCTTGTGGTATTAGGGTCATGGTGTGCAATGGTTCCCTCAATGGGATTGTTGAATACCATTTCAGTCCTCCATGCATGGACATCCACCCATCAGCTCTCTGAATATTCTGAATCCAGTGTTGGATGGATTTTTGGCGTCTTCAGCTTCTTCCTATATTTTGCGGGCGCCCAGGTCGGTATGTTTTATCCCAATATCCACACATCAAGCGCAGCGGCTGATTTGACGATGCCGACAGGTCCGATATTTGACAGCCGTGGACCGCTGCCAGTTGTAGTTCCGGGCTCGATTGGTTTGGTGGTAGCAGTATTCTGCTTTAGTGAGAGCACAGGTTAGTCTTATTTCATGATTGTTCGAGGGTGCCACTAACGCATAACAGAGTACTACCAAATCATGCTCTCTTTTAGCGTCCTAGGCGGCCTCTCATCCTGCTGTCTCTTCACTCCTGCCATCTCCGCCATCGGGCACTGGTTCAATGTTCGGCGTGGCATTGCCACCGGAATCGCCTGTACAGCCGGCGGACTCGGTGGCGTCTTCTTCCCCCTAATCATATTGTATGTCGCCCCGAAGCTGGGCTTCGCGTGGGCCATGCGCATCATCGGGATAATCTGTTTTGTGCTATGCGGTTGCGCATGCCTTCTTCTAAAGACACGGCTCAAGCCCGACACAAAGCGTGGCATGGCGATCGACCTTCGCGCCCTCCGAGAGCCCAACTACGCCCTCACAACGCTTGCAGTATGGATGGTCGAATTCGCTGTATTCGTACCTTATACCTATCTCTGCTCGTACGGTTTATATGCCAACATCGGAGAGTCGCTCTCGTACAAACTGTGTATCTTCCTCAACGTCGGAGCCATCCCGGGACGTGCATTCCCAGGACTCCTCGCGGACAGATTCGGACGGTTCAACGTGATGGCATTCACTGCATTAGTTTGTGCCATCATGACGCTCGCATTGTGGTACAATGCTGGCACGAATGATGGTGCCATTATCGCGTACTCGGTCATGTTCGGGTTCTGGAGCGGTGCGGCTATCAGCTTGACGCCCGTTTGTATCGCACAGGTGTGTCGAACGGAGGATATAGGCAAGCGAAACGGAACGACGTTCACTCTGGTGAGCTTCGGAACCCTAACTGCGATCCCTATTGCGGGGGCGATACAAGAGAGGGACGGAGGTGCTTTCTGGGGATTGATTCTTTTTGGTGGAATCCTGTATCTTGCGGCGTGTGCTGCATTCGTCGTCGCGAGGGGATTTGCTGGTGGTTGGAGGCTGAGAACAAAATTTTAGAAGTATGTATCTGAGACAAAACATAGAAGGATAATATAATAATGCATAGGAATACTAGTAGGGGATTCACTGTTGCAGAATTGGCTGACTGAGTGTTTGTAAGTGGAGAACAAGGAGGCTGGCAGACGGGATTAGGAAGACCCTCGCACCGCCTCGCTGTCTTGTATATACTGGCCTGCTCCGGGTGATGAGATTCAATATCTCCTGTTATAGCGTCGCCAATTCTCACTAATATCTATAAAGCGGGGTGAGGCAGGAGCAATCGGTTAGTATTAGGGGAGTAGCTAAGCAATAACCTCCTTTGCATTATTGGTTGCCTCAGGCACACAGACTAACATGTTTACTCTCCGGGACTCCCGGACCAAGTCGCAATTCTATGCTAGTGTGGAAGCAGGATCTACTCCAATTACTCTGATATGGAGCATAGAAGGTCTCTATTCTGTTAGTCTATAGTCCTGGCACCACCAGGGCGTCCGGATTCGGAAAGTATACTGTCCGAGCGACTGAAATCGATCACATTACTGGGTGCCTGAGCTGTGGTATGAACAAGGATGTCAGTAGAGGCAGTGCTGAGGAGAGTTTTTTTCCAGGGAAGCGCCCTAGCCGGGCTCATAGCCACTTGTTGTAACTTTCTGCTTTCCGGAGGATTAGTTTGGTCTGAGAGACAAGGATCATCGGCGTGACTCTGTCCCGTGTCCAAGATGGAGGCAACCCCCATGCCTCTGGCAAGTGCTGTAAGAGAGACCAGAAGCTTGCATCACAATGCCTCCGTCGAAAATGATTTCTCTGGAGCCGAGTATGAATGAATGATCACTGCGTTGCACAGGATGCGACTTCGTGAACGCTAGCCTCAGTGGCGCGGAATGCACGTTCCCAGGACTAGACTAATGCAAATCAGGATGCAACCATTTGCCTTGTTGAACAGCACCACTCGAGCAGAAGGCAGGACGAAGCCACAGTGGGTACACTGTTTCCAGACGAGTTCCTCCCGAACACGTCCTCGAAGCATGGAATGGGTATTTGGCCTCACTCTGGCCTGGAAGTAGTGCACACTTTTCTAATTGGCATAGCTTTGAAGCAACATCTTAGACAGACTTCCGGTGAAAGTGATTCCGTAGACAATATTGATGACACACCGCGGGAGGTGTGTGGAGTGTCGCGAACCGCATGACTCGAATATCTTTACTACAATGAACATATTGCTGCTTGTAACCAGGGGTTTCGGTGCCACCGATTGGTGGATAGGAGAAGTCCGGGAGTAGTTGAAAATGAATTCTC